CCTTAACATTTGTAAGACTCACTAGTTGACAACTTCTCATCAAATTAATAACATTCATGAGCTCATACTATGCTAATTGGAGTCAGATGTTATAATAAGTAAATTAAGTGCCTTATAAAAACTGGCCATGTAGACATGGCCATCCTGATCAACCAAACATACAAGCTCATAAAAATAGGTACTTTATTTAATATTACATTTTAAAGCTGTGTTGATTAGCTGAAATTATTCCTTATTGAATGTTGCCTGTTCCAGCTTTCAGTTTGTTTGGCACAGGCTAACTTGCCTTTAAGTACCTTTTTGTATCTTGATACCTGTTGGCTTTATTCCAGTTTTCTGAGCTTGTCCAGTCTCCAAGAAAGTATTAAAAAGAAATGTTAGCAAATATTGCAACTGCATTGTGAATTACTTAGGCTTGCATATTATAAAATTAGACATTAGTAGGCGGTGTTTGGAATAGAAAGTGTCTGTGTATCAGTCCAAGATGAGAACATATCCAGCTCTGGCCAAATATGGCACAGATTGTACATTGCAGGCGTCAGGCTTTCCTGCCTCCTCCTGGATGGCTAGTTCTCCTTACTGAATAACCTTGTCTGAGCTTCATCTGTTCCTAGTTATATGCAAATAGCCTTCTTTTGTCTTTTTACTGCTCATCAGGCCTATTGTCCTCATTACTGATTCCCTGCTATTCACTGCAAGGCCTCACAGAGGCCAAGCAATTAATAGGGTTCAAAGCTGCCCTTAGTTTGTAGACTGTTGCTGTCACAGTTGCTAATACTCCACTGTCAATAGGAAATAATTTCTGGAGTCACTAGGGATGGTTGGACCACCAGGCTCTGAAAAAAGACTGAGGGATGCTGAAGGCTTCAGAGATCACCTTTTTCCTTCTAGTTCCTGGTCAGTGACCACAGTGGCAAAATACTGTGGTCCAGACCTTCAGGACTAGGTGGCACAACTGGAACAGTCAGGTTAGTTTGTTTAAAAGGGTGCAGGACAAGATTGGCAGGGAAGACAGAGATGAGAACAGCATAGCAGGTCCTTATAAGCCTTGTCCCTTTGCAAAGCCTGCTTCCTTGGAAGTGCTGGGGGACTGCCAGGTCTGTGGTGTGGATTGGTCTGAAGTGCCACAACCCAGGGAGATGGGTCACTTTTATGCTGGAGACTCTTGGAGAGGAAGAGAGACGGTTGCTACAAGCTCTTGGGAGGGTAAAACATCCCTCCCACATACAGAGGTGTGAAGTCAGCCTGGCAGCAGTTTGCCAGCTGCTTGCTCTGAAGTGGACTCTGTAGAGCTGGGACCTGGGGCTGAGAAAGGATGCCTTTGTTTCAGGGAGGTGTTGGCTTGGCAACACCCTGAGCAGTGGCTGTGCTTTGTCCTCCAGCACTGCTGGCTGCACCAGTGGTGCCACTGCAGCAGGGACATCCTGGTGAGGTTCTGAGCCATCAGGAGAGGTTGGACACAGGCTTGTGTGGTGGCGTGAAGGAAATTTAGATGCTCAAGTTACCTTCAATAAGCAACCACAGCAGAAAGGCTGTTGTGTGTCAAGGGAATATCTTCCTCAGCTTGCACATATTGCTTGTTCATTTTTTTTGGAAGAAGTTAGCTTAGGCTGCAGATGCTGAAGGCTTTTTAAGGAGGTTAGAGCCCAGGTGTGCTTTTCTTTTCCCTCCTAGGATATATGTTCAGGGAAAGTTGGTCTGTGAGGCTTTAGGTTAATACAGAGTTTGGTTTTGTTTTGTATCATCTGAGGAGCCTGCCAAAATTTGATAATTTATGTAGTTTTTGCATGTGAGGTTAAAAGCTATTTTGAAATCACTTTTTGCACAAATGTTCTCCTTGCAGACAATGAGTGGATGGAGCTGCACTGGAGCAGGTCACTCCTGGGTTAGGGGTACTCATACACACAGGTGCTTTCTCATGATTTTCAAAAAGAAAAATAAACTGAAAAAAAACAAGGGGCAATGGGCACAAGCTGGAGCACAGGAGGTCCAAGCTAAACATAAGGAAAAACTTCTGTACTGTGAGGGTGACAGAGCCTGGGAAAGGCTGCCCCGAGGCTGTGGAGTCTCCATCCCTGGACACATTCCAAACCCACCTGGATGTGGTCCTGTGGGATCTGCTGTAGGTGACCCTGCTCTAGCAGGGGGCTGAACTAGATGATCTGCAGAGGTCCCTTCCAGCCCTGACCACTCAGTGATTCTGTGATACAGGGAGATACTAGAAATAGAAAAATCTTCACAAATGGAAAATGCCGGAATCTTAGTTTGGGTTCCAGTAAATCTTCCTCCTGTCCCATCTGTTCTCCTCTTCCTTAGGTGCATTGCAACAACATGTTTTCCAAGGGGGTGAAGATTTTCCAGAAGGTGGAGTGTCTGTTCAAACCACGCCTGATTGCAGAGTGGGAGCCTGAGCCTGTTGGGGTGGCAACTGTCTTAGATGACAAGAACCCCAGCGCCAGGTTTGTGACCGTCCCCCTGCAGCAGCGCGTGGGCAAAGCCATCCTGTGCCGCTTCCACTTCGCTGACACCTGGATGATGATGAGTGAGATTTCCTTCCAGTCAGGTGAGCATCCCTCCACCCCAGCAGGCCTGAGGGAGCCCAGAGAGCAAAAGGTGGTGTGGAGGTGCAGGAGGTGGGGTTCACATGAGTGGAGGGCTGCACAATAGGAAGGAGGAGGCAGTAGAAGTGCTGAGGGTTGGGAGGGCAGTGCAGGGCAGAAGGTCCCATCTATGGGGGCTGCTTTTCAGGCTGATACTGATGAGCCTGTTCAGAAGCACAAGCAGGGCAACCAAAAATTAGACTACAGGACATTTCTTCTTTTAGAGACAGTTGCCTGCTGCTTATGGGGTTGTTTTTTGCCTCTCTTTACCAGGTTTTTTTTTTTTAATGAAGAACTGAACTGTATCTTAACTTAGCAGATTATGAAAAATAGAGACTTTTCTGCTGCTTATGGGGTTGGTTTTTGCCTCTCTTTACCAGGTTTTTTTTAAAATGAAGAACTGAACTGTATCTACATCTGAAGATAACTTAGCAGATTATGAAAAATAGAGACTTTTGTGGGTTTTTTTCTTTCAAGTCTTAACTGAGACACAAAAGTCAGTGCAATGTGGGGCTTTCAAAGGCTCTGTAAGGCCATAGACAGAATGTTGGAGAAAAACACCAGACAGCAAAATGATCTGGGTGCAGCTTCCTGTTTGAAGGTCCCCAAACAGCTATACTGGGAGGACATTCCTGGGGCAGGAGCACTCTGGTGGCAGCTTGCTGCTTATCTTGCTGATAGCATCCCCCCCTGGCCATGTGTGGGACTAGGAAGGCTCTTTGTCTGTCTCTGGGTGGGCATTCTTAGCATGTGCCTGGCCAAGCTCAGGGAAGGGTCTTGCAACAAACTGGTGGTTTGTTGGGGTTGGGAAGTACCTGGAAATACTCAGCACAGGGGCTTGTTCCAGGACTCCCTGCTCCTTCTGTTCCTGACCTGCTGCCTGGGTCTCAGCCCAGTCCTGCTGGGGAAGGCAGGGGGAGTGGTTGGGATTTGTGCTGGCAGGAGCAGTGAGGTTGTTGAACTGACACTTTCCTTCCCCAGACATGGAGAGTGTGAATCCTAACGTGGTTACGGCAGGCACGAGCACGATGGATGCCTTGGAAATGGAGAGCAATGCTACTGAGGGGACCTGGGGTAAGGACTTTTGTCCCTTTGAAATGCCAAGGGCTCAAGTGTTGGGGGGTTTCCACAGGAACATCTCAGTTAACATGGTCTCTCCCTTCATTTCTGGAGATCTGGGTAGGACCCTCATGCAAAGGCTGCACCTGACAAACCTTCCAGCCTCAAACTGTTTCCTCCTCCATCAGCCAGCCAAGGCTGCCTCAGAACAAGAGTCCTGGAGGCATCTGTGCAGCCAGTGAAGCTCTGAAGACTGTTTGCTCTGGCATGGATCCATCACAGGAATCTGTTCCAGTGCTAAGAACAGTTGGGTGGCAGGAATCTCCTGCACAGTTCTTATCTATGAGCCTCCAACATGAGAATTTCTGATAAAAGCAGAATGTGAACACAGCTGATGTTAATGCTCAAGGAAGCTGCCTGAGATCTTGCCTGTACCAGTTTGTAGGAAGGGACAGGGAAGAAGTCAGCCAGGACAGAGAACAACCTCTGCTTTAACTCCAGCTTTTCCTGTGATTGCAGAAACCACATCTTCTGTAACCAGCACCTGGATAGGAGAGAAAGCAGATGACTCCAACACCTCCATCCTTGTGGGCTGCCTTGTGGCTATAATTCTTCTGCTCCTGATGATCATCATCATTATTCTTTGGAAACAATATGTTCAGAAAAGGTTGGAAAAGGTAATACAATGGGGCTGTTCTGCAAACATTAACTCAGTACTGAGCTTCAACCCTAACGAGCTCAGAATTATGTAGAAAGCAGAGTTGCCCCAGCTCTGTAGAGCAGCTAAAGCTGCTCTCACAGCAGGGGAGGATGCCAGCCCACTCTGAGATGTTACTGGAAATTGCTGAGGTTGCAGCCAAACATGACTTAACAACTGAGCATTCCCTCAGCAGTTCTTGTCTCTCTTTGCAGGCCCCGCGGCGGATCCTGGAAGAGGATGCCACAGTTCGCCTCTCCTTCTACAGCTACACCATTGCCAACAACCAGACCCAGATCCACCAGTCAAATCCCACCTATGAACGTGCTTTCCCACTGGATTTGGAATATCATCAGCCAGCTACACTGCTCCAAAAGCTTCCAGAGCTCTCCCAAAGTGCAGAGGATTCAGGTAATGTCATCAGTCTCCAGAAGGGATGTGTTTGGTCTTTCCCTTAGATTTTAACATGTTCTCAGTGTCCAAGTAATCTTATCTGACTCTTGTGCAATACAACTCTAACCCAGGGACAATATTGTGGAGCTCTGAAACTTTCTAGCATGTAACTTGGGCAGATGGAGCACCAGGAGGGGCTGCTCCTGGTTTCAGCCCAAAATAAAGCAGAACCTCCCCCCTGGGTGTACCCTGGTGCAAGGTGTGCAGCTGGGCTGAGTCCCCAGAGCCCTGCAGGAGGGAGAGGTGTGGAAGCCAGGCTGTGCTGGTGTCATGGGGCTGAGGGTGTCTGACTGCTCCTGTCTCTGCTTCTCCTCAGTCTGCAGTGGGGACTATGCTGAGCCCGACCTGACCAAGTCCACTCCTCACCAAGGCTTCCAGAACAACGTTCCTCACTATGCTGAAACAGACATTGTCCCCCTGCAAGGTGTGACTGGCAACAACATGTATGCAGTGCCAGCCCTCACTGTGGATTCCCTTACCAAGAAGGACATCTCAGTGGGTGAATTCCCACGGCAGCAGCTACGGCTCAAGGAGAAGCTGGGAGAAGGACAGTTTGGAGAGGTACAGCAATTCTCTTTTCCCACTTTCCCTCCAACAGAGAGGAGATGTCTGGCACAGCAAAACTTCTGAGCTACCTCTCTGGCACTGCTTCATATCTGGGGGCTGAGGGACCTGCTGTTTATTTAACGCCAGCATTTTGTTTAATATGAGCCTTTGATGTTAGGGAAAGCTGATGTCCCCAGGATAGGCTTCAGGTAGTCCCATCCTGCACCTGTGAGGCTGCTGCTTGGTACCACGTGTCTGAAACAGAGGAACTTTGCAGACTTCCTCTGTTCACTGTCTGTATCCTGTTCATGACCCTACAGAAGAGGCTTGTGGGTGGGAATTCAGACTGTTCCATGGTCATCCCTGGATATCTCAGGCCTTAAGGAATGTGAGTTTGTAAAGTACAGCAGTGACTCCAAGACAGTGATCCTAGCTGTGACCTTTAACAGATGGAGGTTCTGGTGGGGATTTGCATGCTGGTCCAAGCAAAACCAGGCATCTCCCAAGCACTGTGGTACCCTCACATCTTCTCTAGATTAGCTGCTTGCAGTTTGTGTCAGAAACCCCAGGTACACATTGTACATACCCCTCTCATCTGCCAGGCCTTATCTTGACTCCTTGAGCTGCTTTCAAGCCTTGAATCTTTTAACCCTGCTTTTTCTTCTCTCTCAGCTTTGTTTCTACAGCATCTCTGGTTCTGTACTAAGCCAAGTATTCCTCTCACCTGCTCCCATTCTTCCACTGTCTCTTTCCTTCCCAGCTTTTGCTCACTCACAGCCTTAAATTCTGCCTGTCTGCTACACTTTGGCAAAGCACAGCCCTTCCTGACTGCTTCCTCATATATGATGGGCCTATCTTTATAATTTCTCCCTTCTGACAGCACACCTTCCCTACCCCAGCCCCTTCTCTGTCACTTCTTTCTGGATCACTTGGTGTGTTGGAAAAGCACTGACATATTCACCCTCTTCACCTGGCTGGGGGTGCAGTCCCTTTTGCTTGGATCCTGTCTTGGCAGTGCTCCAGAACTGAAACAGAGAGGCTTTTTCCTCATTGTTTTGCTTCTGGTTTCTCCTTCCCTCTCATTCATGTCCTAATAACTGTCAAAGCTTTCTCCTCCTCCTCCTTTGTGTTGTCAAACAGCAGCAGCCAGGCTCTCCATCTCCATTTTCCTGGGAGACTGATTCAGAGCCTGTTCCTTTGCTCACCTTTCCCTCACTGTGCAAATGTGCCCCATTGCTCTCTTCTGCTCACCTCCTCAGTCTGTCCCAGGCTGCTCAGATGCTCTGCTCCACTTCTCTGGCTTAATGTGCAGTCTGGCTTCTAGCAATGTGGCTCATTGCTTGCTTTTGGTTGTTGTTTTTTTCCCCCACCTTTCCACTCAGAATTTCCTTCCCTTTCAAGCTGTTTTCTCCCTTGCTCCTGACCACCCACTGCCTGGACTCGGTGCCACGGTCCCGGCACTTGTGATGTGTGTATTTAGTACCTCAGCTGTTCCTGGTCCCCTCTCTGTACATTCACCACAGTAGATTTCATTCTCTGTGTAGCTGCAGCAACATCTTTGTGCTCTTGCTTCTAGTCTCTGGGTTTGTCCCATTTTCACCCACGTCCTTTTTCTCCTCACCATGCTTGACATGCAAGTTTTTGTGCTTTCTTCATATAAAATTAATTAAGCTCCCATTACATTCCCCTCACTGCTGCAAGTCTTTGACACATCCAGTCTGTTCCCCTCCTCCAGTCCTGTTTCCAGTCCCATGTGCTCAGCTCTGTCTCTTTTTCCCACACCAGCATCTGATGCCCAGTTCTCCAGTTGATTATAGAATCATTAAGGTTGGAAGGGACCTTGAAAATCATCAAGCTCCAACCCCCCTGCCATGAGCAGGGAACCCAAAACCTCCTCCAGCCTGGTCTTAAAAACCTCCAGGGATGGGGCATCAAATAACCTTCCTGGCACCCCATTCCAGTTTCTCACCACCCTTATGGTGAAGAATTTCTTCCTAATAGCTAACCTAAATCTCCCCTCTGTTTAAAACCATCACCCCTTGTCCTCTCACTAGCTTCTCTGATGAAAAGCCTCTCTCCAGCTATCCTGTAGGCCCCCCATTCTGATAAGTCCTTAAGCAAATACCTTGTTACCCCCTTTCTTGTATGACCCTGGCAGTAATTTGATGTCTTTATTAATTTATCTATCTAAAGAAACTTGGCATTCTGTGTACTTAGAGTATTCATCTCTGGATATATTCACAGGTGAGGTGTTCACACACATGTGCACACACACTCTTTTTCTGGAATTGGAGGACTTTGGAGAGCTGTCTGTGATTCCTAAATGCTCCTCAGTTAGGCCTGAGCAGTGACCCCAGCCAGGCTGCAGGACAGGTCTGTGTGTGTGGCTGGTGTGAGGTGCTGTACATGCCAGACCTGCTGCAGCCCTGCTCTTTGCATGCACATGTGCAGTAAAGCAGACATTCCCAGGCACACTGGCCTTTCAGAACATCTCCAGTCCTTGCTGGGCAAACTGGGACTGGCCCAGCAATCTCCTGCACTACTCTGCAAACGTGCAGTGAATTCAGTGCACTGGGAACCTGTCAGTCTCTACATCATGTGTATGGGCACATTTTGTCCAGGGTCTAGGGCCAGCCTCTGGGTTAGTTCTGATCAGAACAGAGTCACCTTCATTAGATCATTCCCTTGGTCATTCTGCCAGTGATGACTAAACTGATGACCTGTCTGTGGCTCTGTTTTCCTCTCGTTTTTGGCCTGTGCATACTCTGATAGTTGCCTCTGCCCTGCAGGTGCACCTCTGTGAAGCTGATGGCCTGCTGGAATTCCTGGGAGTCTCATCTACAGAATTCACTCACCAGCCTGTTCTTGTAGCAGTGAAAATGCTGAGATCAGATGTCAACAAAACAGCCAGGTAAGAGCACCCGCAGCAGCAACCAGCTGAGAAGGAAAGCAAATACTCCCCATGCAACAGCTGCACACAGGTTAACCCTGGTAACTTCTGCAGGAGGCTTATTAGTCTCTGTGTGTTGGTGCAGGGAGCAGGACACCAGCAGCAGGGCCACAAGCAGGTGTCAAGTGCAGCTGCAATGCTGTGACCATCCTGTCTGCTGGGGAAGGGGTCAGTGTTGAACACTGAACCAGTTTTCAGTCTCACCGTGCAGACGTGTCAATGTCTCTGCCCAGGGACTTCCTGACATGCTGCTTCTGCTTTCCTTAGACAAGGGAATGGTTTAGGATTCAAAGCTGTTTTCTCTTTTACAAGAAATGATTTCCTGAAGGAGATCAAGATCATGTCACGGCTGAAGAACCCAAATATCATCCGGCTTCTGGGGGTGTGTGTGCGGGACGACCCCCTGTGCATGATAACAGAGTACATGGAGAATGGGGACCTCAACCAGTTCCTGTCACAGAGGGAGATCTACAGCAAATTTGCCATTTCAAACAATATTCCCTGTGTCAGGTAAGAGGAGCTGCCCTGAGTTGGGATGAATCAGCAGTACAGAGCCACCAGTGTCACCTGATGTGCCTTCCAGGCAGTGACCTTCCTCCAGCCACAGCACATGCTGTGGACACTACTCCTGTTTTGCATGGGAGGTTGTTCTTGAGGCCCCTGGAGATCTGTGTTCCCATGACCTGCCCCTGCTGTGGGATGTTCTGGTCAAGGTGACAACCTTAGATGTGTTGCTTATAGATGTGACCACTTGTTTATGTTGATGGGTTTGCATCAGATAGTTGATTCATACAGGAAGCCAGTTGCATTACAGCAAGAATTTTGGGATGAAAATCAAGAATGTCTCATAGGCTTTTAAGAAGGTTCATATGTTCTCTGGATGTCTAAAAAAATATTATATGGGAGGAGTTGATTGTGGAGCTTCACTAAGGGAAGATTTCACCAGCCAGCAGAAGGAGAATCTTTGGCAAGAAGGACAGTTCTCTGTCAGCAGTGATTCTTATTTCCCTCTGTGGAAGGAGTAAGTCTAACATAAAAACATCTCTACTAGTGCAGAAATCCTTTCCTCAGAGAAGCTGACATGCTGAGAGAGTTGGGGCTGTTCAGGCTGGGAAGATCTTCAATCACCTTCCAGTGCCTGAAGGGGCCCCAGGAAAGCTGGGGAGGGACTTGGGACAAGGGCAGGGAGGGATGGGACAAGGAGCAATGAATGAAAACTGGAAGAGGGGAGATTGAGGTGAGACATTAGGAAGAAATTCTTTGCTGTGAGGGTGGTGAGACACTGGAACAGGTTGCCCAGGGAAGCTGTGGCTGCCCCATCCCTGGCAGTGTTGAAGGGCAGGTTGGATGGGGCTTGGAGCAGCCTGGGCTGGTGGGAGGATCCCTGCCCATGCAGGAGGGTTGAAATGAGGTGGTCTTTAAAGTTCCTTCCAACCCAAACCAGTCTGGGATTCTGTTTCGTTGTGTGTAGGACTAACATGTTCTGCTGGATAGAGGCACCTGCACTGATCAGAACTGGCTGCACTGCTTCACCCTGGGCATCTGATTAACTTGTAGCTCAAGGGCAAGGGAGTTGGGCAGGGTGAGGTCTGTTAATGGATGGGACAGGAGGTGGCTGGGCCTTGCTGTGTGGAGACAGCACCAGCCTCCCTGCCAGGAGTGGGCAGGGGTCCTGTGGGGAATGTGGAAATGGTGCCCTGGTCTCCCAAAGCAGTGGGAAAGCAGGAACAGGAACTCTGTGGCCGAAAATTAAGAAATAGGTAAAAATCAGAAATGTTATGTAGTAAAACACATTTTCTTATAAAGTAATGAACGTAATTTAAAAATATATTTTAGTTTTTAATAGCCAACTGATTAGGAAGGGCATAACATAAAAATACTGTCAATATTGCTTTGCATAAAAAAAACCCAAAATAAACACCAGGGAAAATGCTCAAATCCTTGTGCCAACATCAAGCCTCTTCTGCAAGAATTTCAGTTAATTAAATGATTAGCAAGAAGTAATAGATGAATCATAGAGTTACAGAGTTGTCAGGACTGGAAGGGACCTCTGAAGATCATCTAGTCCAATCCCCTGCCAGGCAGGGTCACCTACTGCAGATCCCACAGGAACACATCCAGGTGGGTTTGGAATGTCTGCAGAGAAGGAGACTCCACAGCCTCCCTGGGCAGCCTGTCCCAGGCTCTGTCACCTTCACAACACAGAAGTTTCTTCTTATAGCCCATTGCCTCTTGTCCTGTCACTGGATACCACTGAAAAGAGACTGGTCCCCCCCTCTTGATACCCCCTGTATGTAGCTATAAGTGTTGATAAGACCCCCCTCAGTCTCCTCTTCCTTCTCTATCCTGCAGAGTCATGACACACCAGGAGCTGTAGGATGGGAGATGTTTGCATTGGAGTAGAAGCATATTCCAGCTCTCTCCAGTCTCCTCTCCCTTCTGCCCAGCTGAAACAGCTTTAACCTTTAGAGTTGTGGCTTTTTTCTTGGCCAAAGCCTCCACTCTCCTTTCTGTGTCTCTTCCTCACCTCTGCTCTGACTGCAGCACTGTCACTCACATTGGACTTCCTCACTTTCCATTTCTTGGCTCAACCTCCAGTTTTCTCTCCCTCCAGCTGATCCTCCACCCTCTCCTTTTGTCCCTTCCAGCCTGGTACAGTTTCAGGCTCAAGACAGCAGGTGGGACCAGCTCAGGTATCTGTCTCTGGAGGTGTTTACCAAGAGTGAAATGACCCCCCCCCGCCTGCAGCTTGTCCCTGTGGGTATCTGATTGACAGGGCAAGGTCCAACCATCCCACCTGCCTCTCAAGCTCAATACTTGACCCACCAAGTGTGGTGACCAGCCCTTTCCTGCAGACAGGTTACCCTTCCTTCTCATGGCTCTGTGGTTCTTTGGGCTGCATCTCCCTGGGCTGCCTGGCAAATCAGGAAGATGTGTCTGCTGAGAAGTGTCTCCAGTCCTGCCCCTCTGTGCTCATCAAGCCCTTCAGAGCTGGCTGAGCAGAGGGGCTGGGGACCAAAGGGGAACTGCTGCTGGGACCCTGCCAGGGTGCAGGTGGGACAGGAGAGGCTGGGAATGGGAAGAGCACCAGCCCCAGGCAGGGAGACAACTGCAGCTGCCAGGGTGAAGGGGGGGCAGTCAGGGTCTGGAGGCTGTGGCTGCTCCTGTGTGAAAAGCCAACAAGCAGGGCAATGAGGTACAAGTAAAGGCAGAGTTCCTGATCTGGGGGCACAACAGGTCCACCCAGATCAGGAGAAGCATCAAGCTGACCGTGGGACTGGGCCCAGTGTCACCTGTGCTGACAGGCTGGGAGGGAAATGGTGCCAGACCCTCCTGTCAGGGCCCTGGATCCCTGTGGCTATAGCTGAGCTACTGATGAGAGCAGACAGCTTGGGTACAGTGCCATTAGATCATTACATTGGTGTAATTCCATCCATTAGGGTATTGTCATTTAGATAACATGGCAGTGCTTCTCTCATTGCCTCCAGAACACAGAGGAGGAGACAAAGACTTTATTTTTCTCAAATTGATCAGAGAAATACTGACTGGGAGCAGCTTATTTGTGTTGTGATAAATGCTTGAGCAGACACAGTGGGAAACACTGGTCACCATGGAGTGATAGAGTGTGAGGAGTGAGGGAAGTCAGCTGGTCCAAATTCATAGAATCATAGGAAGTTTTGGGTTGGAAGGGACCTCAAAGATCATCTAGCTCCAACCCCCTGCATGGGCAGGGACACCTGTGTCTGTGTATCATGTGACTTCACTGATATTATTTTCATTTTGCTGATGGGGGAATTACAATTATATGAGATGTAAAATGCATCTGTTTGTATCTTCAATAGTACTAAACAAAGTTTAAAAAGTAAGCTCTGTTTAATGGTCAGTGATGTTCTGGATGCCAACGTGCAATGGGGGCAGTGCTGGAAATGCCAAGCCAAGCAGTTTTTAGGTATGAGATTGAGATTGTATGGCTTCATTTTTCATGTCTCTCTGCAAAAAGTTGGTGCTTTGTTGCATAAACTCTTTGCATAGACTCGTTGACCATCTCGAGACTAATGCTTGATGTTAAAAAAAACAAACCAAAACCAAAACCAGAGGGATATCAGATTCTAAGGGCCCTGAATTTCAGGGACAGCTTGTCAGCTCTTGCTCAGGCACCTCAGGAGCTTGGCTTGGCCTGGCAGGTGGGGGTGCCCTGAAACTGGGCAGTTTAGTTTCACTGTTACATCAAAAAATAGAAGGGTCACTGTAACACATCCAGGGAGTTGTGTGGGGAGCTCAGTTGATTTGTCTTCACTTTGTTTTCTTTTGATGCAGCTACTCCAACCTGCTGTACATGGCCACCCAAATTGCCTCTGGAATGAAGTATTTGGCATCTCTGAACTTTGTGCACAGAGACCTGGCAACTCGGAACTGCCTGGTGGGCAACAACTACACCATCAAGATTGCAGACTTTGGCATGAGCAGGAACCTTTACAGTGGGGATTACTACAGGATCCAGGGAAGAGCTGTGCTGCCCATACGTTGGATGGCCTGGGAGAGCATCCTCCTGGTAGGCTCTGCACACAACCACACTCTCCCTTCCTCTGACTTTTTTTTTTCACTGTGCCCCTGAAATTGTAACACATTTAAGTGTGACAGTCCTGACTGCAGCAAAACATGAGCTGCAGGTGAGATGGCCAGTGGGTTACATTTCTGGCAGGTCCTGGAAAAGGAGCATGTCCTTGCAAATACAGCACATATCACCTGGGCCAGAATTTGTTCTGTGCCTGACACTAGGGATTTCTTCTAGAATTGGAAGGAAATTACCTTCCTATCCTTATTTCCCCAGCTGTGAAGTTGAGAGGGACCTGGACAGGGGTAGAACTTCATGAATTTCAAGTGCCACGTCTGGTTTTGAGGTTGGGGTTTTGTTTCATGTTTAAGGGTTCTCCTGTGCCCCCTTAGGAAGCTGTTCAACAGCCCAAACATGTCCAGTCTGCAGGCAGTTCCTTCATGCCAAGCCCCATATTTCTTTCCCAGTCTACTCAGTGAGATCACCTGGTTATTCTTTCTTTTACAACATCCTCTCTGAGGACCCAGAGAAATTGTAATTAACTCTGCTATAAAGGCTGATAGGCATAAGCTTTTCTAAGTTCACCCTATTTTCCTTGCTCTAGCTGTACCTAAGCCATTCAACACTCATTTTCCCTGTGGGAACATCTCCCAAACACTGACATCCTGCTGGGCTTGCCAGATAAGGCTGGGCAGTTCAAATCTTGGATGTTTTCTGCCCAAACTGTCCCTCCAGGCCCCAACTGTTTTATTTTTCTGAGCAATCTTTAGTTTTTTATTTACTCCTTCAGAAATCACATTGTTCCAAACACGGCCAGTTTGGGCACGTTTTTTGAGGATGGGCAGCAGGGACAGGGAGCAGACTGTCAGCAACTCCTTCCATGTGCAGAGATCCAAATTATCTTGGCCTTTCTCTGACAGTCTGGAGTCTGCTTCAGCTCTGCTTCCACCCCCAGGGCTTTGCTTGCTGTTCAAAGCCTTTTTTCTCTGCTGCACTGTTGTGTTTTGGGTGGAGGTGGCAGCTGCTGCCCTCCCCCTGCCACGGTCCCTTCTCCTCCTGCTGCAGACAGGTACAGGCTTCCTCGGGAGGGTCAGTGCTCTCTGGCTTTCTGGGAGGCTTGCTCCCTGTTTCAGGAGGTTTGTCCCAGTGAAAGCTGTCCCCAGGGTCCCACAGACCTGCTGCTCCTGCCCTGCCAAGCAGCAGTGTCCCACCTTGGTCCCTGTGCATTGCTGAGCAGCCACCTCCTCTGCTGTCTCTCTTGGAAAGCATTTCCCCAGGTGTCAGCTCTGCAGCCTCGTGTGTAGCTGTGGGGACCATGGACCCAGATGGCTTTGCTGAATGTTTGCTGGGAGCAACCCGGGCTTACAACATCCTTCTGTCCACAGGGCAAGTTCACCACAGCCAGTGATGTCTGGGCCTTTGGGGTCACCCTCTGGGAGATGTTCATCCTGTGCAAGGAGCAGCCCTACAGCCTCCTCTCGGATGAGCAGGTCATCGAGAACACGGGCGAGTTCTTCCGGAGCCAGGGCAGGCAGGTGAGGAAGCTCATGGGGCCTCTCCTTCCTTTCCTTGACCTGCTCACATCCAGCTGGATTCCATAGGGCCTTTCTGCTGGCCTTCTGTCACCTGCAGATGTCTCTGCTGCCATTACTCATCTTTCCAAGTGTGTCCCACCTCTCTTCCCCTTCCTCCATACTCGTTGCTCTGGCTTTGCTTTCTTGGAGGAACCTCCTCTGGAAGAACCTCTAGTCCAGTGCTTCTTCCTTATACACCCCTTCTATTTCCATCTGTCCTTGATGGACTGTCCTCCTTACCTTTTCTGGGCTCTCCTACACAATCCTTTTGCTCTTTTGTCTGTCACATCTCTCTCCCACTAGCATTTGCTCTGAAAGATGAGGAAGGACTTACTGAGGTGGGGAAGGAGGAGTTTTTACTGCCCTCATAATATCTCCACACACATGTGTGGAGAGACTTTTGACCATCTCTGGTTGCTGAGGGCTTTTCTGTGTCATTGTCCTCTCTTATGAACTCCCAGGCAGAACTGTGCACTCCACTGACGCAGCCTTCAGTAGATACTACTGATGGTGCAGGACAACCCAGTAGATACCAGTGATGGTGAAGGACACAACCCAGTAGGTACCACTGATGGTGCAGGACAACCCAGCACCTCAGCACTGAGGATCACTCTACCCCAAAAAGGGAGAGCCAGTTCTTTGCTGCCCTCCCAGAATTCACCTTTACCCCCAAACGAGTGAAAGGGTTACAGGGAATAAAGTCACAGGAGGTTTTATTCACTGCCTCCCAAATACTAATGATTTAGTGAAGAGCCTCAAAGATGGGGGGGGAAATTCTGCCAAGCTTTGCTTTTTAGATGAGCTCTAAAAGGTATTTTTTCTGTCTCTGCTAACAAGCTGTCACGGTGCTTAGAAAGCCTCATGGGTTGTCTACGGTGAGTGAAAGTCTTTGGATTTCGTTGTGGTCAATTTGGTTTTGGTTTGTGTTTTGCTGTCGCTTGGAAGACAAATCCCTGGGAGGCATTTGTGTTTCCTGGGGGACAAAGGACTGTTTTGTGACCTGCTCATCAAAACAAGTTGGCAAAGTGTCTGCAGTGCCATTTGAGATGACTCAAAGCTCCACCCAGACCCCACGGCCGGATTTACGCTTCAGGGATTTCAAACCTTGCATGATGGTCTGTCTTGTACACCTGGAGTCAAACTGTTGGTTTGGATGTAGTAGAGGTGCAGTTCTGTAAGGACAGCTCACTCAAACAGTTGTATTCTTCTCCCTTTCAGATCTATCTCTCCCAGACTCCTCTGTGTCCTAACCCTGTGTTTGACCTGATGCTGAAATGTTGGAGCAGGGATATAAAGGATCGTCCCACTTTTGACATGATTCATCACTTCCTGCTTGAACAAATGGAATCAAACATTTGACTCCAGAAAAAGAGACAAACTGTTGAGAACAGAGTGACTTTGGTGTCTCTGCCTGTACCTCATGGGAAGATGGTCAGGCCACCTTGCTCTCCTCCCTTGACTGTTCCATATTTAAGTTGAGATGTCCATGGCAGCTGCTCATTCTATTGGCCATGGTCTGACACACAGGACCAGAGGATCTCATTTGGTTGAAAAATCATCTCCTCTTCTGCATCATTTCCTGGGAATACTGTGAGAGGGGGTTTTAATGGATACCCACACAGCTTTGGGCAAAATGAATGAGTTAAACTTGGAGGACTTGGAGCTCTCTCCTGGGTGGGACAGAAGGATCCCAGTAGGTGAGAGCATTACCACTCAAGAACAGATTTCTAGGAGTAAAGACTTCAGTCTTTTTTAACTATTCCATTAAATCAAATGGAAGTCTTGTGCACATGAGCAGGTGTTTCTGTATGTTCTTGCTACAGACAATATGGATAGTGAGGACTAGAAGTGTCTGGAGCTAGAGAATGGTGTCATGGACTTGAGGACTGACGGAGCTGGATTTAGCAACCCTTGGGAAGTCGTGCTGCCAGGGTCTACAGAGGACACTGATTCAGGAGTCCAAGATCATGTTCTTTTTTCCTGTGGTTGTTAAGCACTGCTTTTGTTGTATATGTGCATTTTCCCCACACTGGATTTTTTTTTCTAGAAAAAAGATGAAAATGAATGTTCAAGGTCTTGGGAAGGTCACTAGAGTAGATCTTCTGACCTGCAAATTAAGGCTAGGGTAGGGAGTTTGTATTGAAAAGTAGCTGATACTGTACTACTGTCACTATGTAGATTTATTAGCCTAATGAACTTGTAGCCACAATGGACTGATGTGCAATTAATCCTGTATAATTACCCATTAATATGAGGTCTCTAAGTCAATGCTGTTACATGTGCAGAGGGAACTTAGAGCAGAACCCGCCGTGTCACTTGTGAGAGGAGAAGGAGCAGAGTACGGGTCACCCCTGGCACGCATGTGCACCCTGATACATTTTTCTAGCCTCAGTGGTTCCTCTCTGGATCTGCAGTGATGGCATCTGGCACTGGGAGATGTGACACACACATAGTTTGGGATTGTGCTTTATTTCAGATGCTCCCTGCACAGTGTAAGACAATTTACTCATTGAACTTGGGGTTGTTTTTTGTTTGTCGTGTCACAAACGGCTCATTCTCTGGAGGGTTTTTAGAGGGCTCTGAAATCCACTTGGAGTGAGTTAGAGAATTCAGCTCATTTCTACAATAAATCCCTTGTGGATTTTCCAGGTGCCTAGGGAATACACTGCTATTCCCTCTAATCACTTAGCAAGATAGTTAGGACCAAACCAGGTATTTCATAAGCCGGGAGAAGATGAAAGCTCAGCACTTGGCTTTATTTAAAGAGCATCCATAGCACATATTGCCAGTAAAGATTATAAAAATAATTTTTATCTTAGCCACAAGCATAGTATGAATGGCTGGCTGTGCTTTGAGCTTGGTGAGAGGGCACTGCTGGGAGAGGGAAATGGTTTTAATAGGAGAATAATGGTTACACTGAGAGAAAAAAACCCTGCCTTTGAATTGGCAGATGCCAGGATGGAGTGTGGTGTGGCTGAGTCTGTTCCCCAGGCAGAACACACCCTGTTGAGATGTTTCCCAGCTGCAGCTCACTTGGTAGGACTGCCCAGGTTGTCTTGCAGACCTGGTGTGGGGTTCTCCTGGTTGCACAAAGGCACCTCCAGCTGAGCTGCTCCTCACAGGATCACAGAACAGTTGGGATTGGAAGGGACCTCTGGAGATCAGCTGGTCCAACCCTCTGCCAGAGCAGGATCCCCTAGAGCAGATCCCACAGGAACACATCCAGCTGGGTTTGGAATGTCTTCATGGATGGAGACTCCTCTAAGCACCCTTGACAAGTCATCCCACCTCCCTGTGAGGGCCACATGAGCTCAGGTGCCTCTCACCCCCAAATAGGTGCATTTTTGCCTCCTGTGATGACAGTGGCACAGGCTGAGCTCTGCAGCTGGGCGGTGGGAGGCAAGGCCAGCCCGGGCCCTGCTGGAGCCTGGGAGCACTGGGCTGGCAGACCACACATGGGTTGTGTTCCTGAAGTATTCCTGTCCTGTCCCAGAAAATGTACCCAAGCACACCCAGCTGTGTGTGTCACCTCCTGGAGCTCAGAGACCCCAGAGCGCTGTAATGTCACCGGGACGGGCTTGGTCCTTCTGTTGGCTCAGGACGTGCTGTTCCTCCCTTGAAATGTTGACATACAAAGTTTCTCTCGTATCAATAAATTCTAATGATAACCTTGATAAAAGTGAAGTTCTGCTTTTTTTTTTACCCAGGTGTCTGCACTGAGGACTGATGGTTTGGGCTGGTTATTCAGTAAGTGTGTGACCCCCGGGTTTGGTGTGAGCTTTGAAGGGGGTTTCTGGAAATGCTGGGAAGATGCTGGTCTGAACCTCCTCAGGAGCTGAGGAAGATGATGGGACCTGGAACAGCCTGGGAATGTTGTTCTGTGCCATGAACATGGGGCTGCATTTCAGCAAGCCATTTGTTTTCATGTTTGTATTAAACTCAGAGGAAGAAATCTAGTCTGGGAAGGACCTTTGTAGGTCTCTAAGCCAATTGTTCACTAAAAGCCAAGCTGATTTCAAAGCTGCATTGAGGTGCTCTGGGTGTTCCCAGCTGGGCTTTGAAGGTCTCCAGGAATGGAGATGCCACCATGTGCCAGGGCTGTGCCTCTCCCGTGGGGGAGGATTTTCTCCTTGTGTCTTTTGTTGCATCTTGTGCCTGTTCCCTCTAGTTCCACTTGGCACCCGAGAGGAGCCATCACACACCTCTTGGACCCACCCACCCTGCAGACCTGGGGTTGCCCCTGAGTAGAGCTCAGGTATTGGGACAAACTCAAATACATTTATAAAGGCTGGAAATTCCAGGAGTCCCAAAGCATGTGGGGACTGAGGGCAAAGAGTCAGAGCAGCGTTTTCATTTCCCCAGATGCAATTTCAGGTGGAGTTACAGGCACCTGAGCAGGTAAGAAGGACCTTCAAATACTCCATGATTTCTGGTCAGCAGCTTTGAGACTTGGCAGTGATTCTGCCAGTTCCTGGCCAAGCTCTGGGAGGCTGTGGAGGGTCTGAAGCAGGTTGACTGTTGGTGGAGATGCTGCTGGTGCCAACGGGGGGTGGCCTTTGTCCCAGGGACACACTGGGCACAGCAGCTGTTCAGTGAACAGGAGACCCATGTCCTGTCCTCAGCTTCAGGGGCTGAAACCCACCATGCACAAGACACTGTGTCCATACACTTGGGAATGGGAACAACCTCCCCCCTGTGTGAAGCACAGCAGAGAGGGATGGTTCCCTCTCAGCCAGCCTAGGAGGGCGATGGGAAGGAGGGAGAGGAGGGATGAGCCTTCCCAACCCCTGCCTTGGGGCTTCCTGAGCAGCAGGGTGTGGATGTGACCTGGTGTGTGCAGACAGAGTGGCCTGGCCACGTGGTGACCAGGGCCTGCAGAGCCAGGCTCTCCCCACTTGTGTGGGTTGGATGTGAACTGTGCCATGAACGTGTCTTTGTTCTGGGGCTGCTTCTGGGGAAACAACTGGCCCTGCTGTCCCCAGGGCTCTGAGCCTTCAGGAAACCTGACAAGTGCTGTAAAAATCTCTGTGCTCATCCAAAATTTCCAGGTGGGAGACAAAAACCAAAGGTGTGGCCAGAAAAACCTGCTGCTGGAGCTGGAAGTGTTGCTGGGGACTGAGATGGTGGCATCACAGAGGTTTCCCTGGTGACAGCTCCTGTGTCCTCCCACAGCCCCCCCAGAGCTGCCCACATTGCCATGGCAGGCCCCAAGGAAAATGGCCTCTTCCCACCCAACCCCTACCATATCCCTGGGTAAGTTCTGAAGTTCATCCAAATTCATGAAGTTCATGCAAATGGCTCCACTGGGGATCACGTGGTGTTAATGATTCATGGGATTGTGCCTCTCCCGTGGGGGAGGGTTTTCTCCTTGTGTCTTTTGTTGCATCTTGTGCCTGTTCCCTCTAGTTCCACTTGGCACCCGAGAGGAGCCATCACACACCTCTTGGACCCACCCACCCTGCAGACCTGGGGTTGCCCCTGAGTAGAGCTCAGGTATTGGGACAAACTCAAATACATTTATAAAGGCTGGAAATTCCAGGAGTCCCAAAGCATGTGGGGACTGAGGGCAAAGAGTCAGAGCAGCGTTTTCATTTCCCCAGATGCAATTTCAGGTGGAGTTACAGGCACCTGAGCAGGTAAGAAGGACCTTCAAATACTCCATGATTTCTGGTCAGCAGCTTTGAGACTTGGCAGTCTCCTGGCCAAGCTCTGGGAGGCTGTGGAGGGTCTGAAGCAGGTTGGCTGTTGGTGGAGATGCTGCTGGTGCCAACGGGGGGTGGCCTTTGTCCCAGGGACACACTGGGCACAGCAGCTGTTCAGTGAACAGGAGACCCATGTCCTGTCCTCAGCTTCAGGGGCTGAAACCCACCATGCACAAGACACTGTGTCCATACACTTGGGAATGGGAACAACCTCCCCCCTGTGTGAAGCACAGCAGAGAGGGATGGTTCCCTCTCAGCCAGCCTAGGAGGGCGATGGGAAGGAGGGAGAGGAGGGATGAGCCTTCCCAACCCCTGCCTTGGGGCTTCCTGAGCAGCAGGGTGTGGATGTGACCTGGTGTGTGCAGACAGAGTGGCCTGGCCACGTGGTGACCAGGACCTGCAGAGCCAGGCTCTCCCCACTTGTGTGGGTTGGATGTGAACTGTGCCATGAACATGTCTTTGTTCTGGGGCTGCTTCTGGGGAAACAACTGGCCCTGCTGTCCCCAGGGCTCTGAGCCTTCAGGAAACCTGACAAGTGCTGTAAAAATCTCTGTGCTCATCCAAAATTTCCAGGTGGGAGACAAAAACCAAAGGTGTGGCCAGAAAAACCTGCTGCTGGAGCTGGAAGTGTTGCTGGGGACTGAGATGGTGGCATCACAGAGGTTTCCCTGGTGACAGCTCCTGTGTCCTCCCACAGCCCCCCCAGAGCTGCCCACATTGCCATGGCAGGCCCTAAGGAAAATGGCCTCTTCCCACCCAACCCCTACCATATCCCTGGGTAAGTTCTGAAGTTCATCCAAATTCATGAAGTTCATGCAAATGGCTCCACTGGGGATCACGTGGTGTTAATGATTCATGGGATTTGGGTTTGATTTTTTCAAAGACACATTTAAATATTCCATGTTCCAGTGCTCCAAAAAAGACAGAGCTCTGGGACAAGCACCCCCACCCAGCACCAAGCTCTAATTAAAGACCACAGCACAGTGAGGGTGAAGCCAAAACTGATCTTTATTTCCCCTTTTTTCCATTTGTTTTAAGCTGCCAAATGTTACCAGGGCTGCTGTGCAGGGTTTGGTTTCAAAACTGTCCCAGCTTTTGCATCCAGGATGTTTGAAGCTCTTCTTTGAATAAATATTTGCATAGACATGATGTGCTCTTGTCAGGTTGGTTGGAGCACAGTCCTGCTGCCAGATCCCAGCTCTTTGAAGAAGGCAGTGGCTCCTTCCTTAGGAAGGAGTCCTCAGGATGCTGGGGAGCTACTTCAGAATGTAGCTAAATTGGGTTTTTTTTTTCCAAAGCTTTTTGCAACATCCTCCAAAGGCTTGGAAAAAAGAACCCAAGCTGTGGTGGGGAAGAGGTGATGAGTTCTTGGTTAAAAGGCAAGACAGGAAGGGCAGAAATAGGTGGAGAGACTTCGTGGTGAAGCAGAGAAGTTGAGCTGGGGTCTCCTGGTGACCTGTGCTGGGAGGTTTGGTCCCTGACGTGTGAACAGGCTGAGAAGGCCTGGATTTGAAGGTGCAAAGTCCCCTGGGTTGGTCCAGCCCGAGGGTGGCTCCTGGGGCAGAGGGGCTGGTGACAACCCTGCAAACCCCAGCAGAGAGGAGGGAGCTGTGGGTGCAGCACGGGCAGGAACCAGGCAGGTCCCAACCTGCAGGGAAAGGCAGGAACACGTTTTCTGCCTTAGTGATGCTCTGCAGGGACAACCAGCTCTGTCCTTCCCATTGCAGCAACAAGCAGGATTTTTCCATTACCAACCTCCTTGTCTCCCAACTTCTGTCAGCTCTGGGTCTGGGGGGGGGTTTGCAGATTTTTGCCTTGCTGTGGTTGTCTGAGAGATGGGAGGTTGTTCCTTCCTTGCTCCTTGCCTGTACTGAGAGCAGCTTGGGAAATGGAACAGCAAGGAGGGAGCTGTGGCTGGGCTTGCACTTCCAAAAGCCTCAACCCCTCCCCTTGCCCAGCCCTGTCTGCCAGCAGCACCCCCAAAGCAGCTTTGAGCCCCAATACCAGTCCCACAACTGAGGCTGCTCCTCTCTGGGCTGGTGCTTCAGCACCTGAAGGCAGGAGGAGGAACCAAATCCTGCTGCTGTGCTTGGCAGGACCATGCAGGCTGGTGGCATCACCCCAAGCCCCAGAGGAGACCCCATGGGTGCCAGGGGTGCTGCTTGGAGTCTGGTTTGGGTGGCTGAGCACAAGCAGGAGTTTCCTGAAGGGCAGTCCTGGAGCCAGGTCAGGTGGGGCTCCCCAGGCTGGGGTGCTGGGAGAAGGAGGGAGATCCATGTTGCAGCATCTCAGCAGCTTTCCCAGGTGCTGGAGGAGGCTGGAACCACAACGGGGGCAGCAAAACCTGGTGCTATCCCTTGGGTTGGCAACGGTGACAGCCAGGGCTTTGGAAGTGTCCCCGCAGTGCTCAGGAGCACTGGAAGGCAAACCCAGCTTGTGGGATGGTTTGGGAAGGACTTGGTGCAGAGGGGAGGGGTAAATCCCTGGATCCCGGGCACTGGGCACAGCCCTGCCCAGCCCAGCCTGGCCTGGTGGAGCTGAGGGAGGGTCCAGGGCTGGGCTTGTCCCTGGTGACCAGGAAGGCTGAGCAGGTTCAGGTGCTGCAGCCTGGGAGTGGTTGTGGGAGAGGGAGCTGAGTGAGGGATGAGATGGGGAAAGCCTTGGATTCCCTGCTCCCCAACAGGCTCTGGGAGCAGTGGCTGCAGCTCTTCACTCTGAGCAGCAGGAACAGGGCAACCCTCTGGTTCCTGCATCAAAATCCCAGCAGGAGAAAGTCAAGCAGCCCCACTGGGACCTGTCTCCTCCCCACACACCACAGCTTCTATCACAGCACTTGTCATTCCCTTCTGCAGCAGATCCCTTCTCCACAAACCCAGGCTGCCTCTCCCCAGCTCCTTGGCTTTACCTGCCTTTTAATTCCTTATGGATTGAATCCTTTCTCAGCCCTGCTGTGATTTTTTGCTCATGATCAAAATCCCTCTGGCCACCCTGTAATTATTCAGGCTGTGTCATTTGTGCTCTTGCTCAGCTTTATCATCCAGGTGTAGCTTCCCTGTGTTGCAAGACTTGTTGAATATCCCTGGGATGAGGCACCAGCTCCTCCAGCAGCTGCTGGGGAGGGAGCCTGGATGCAAAGTGGGAGAACTTGCCAAGTGTGACTGCAGGGATCTGCTCGCTGCTGCTCCAAGTATTTGGAAGGGAAAGTACTTACTCATCACCTTATGATCCTCGTGCACCACCTGGCTTTGTCCCCAGATGTGCAGTGGGGTCACTGGTAGAATATTTTGTCTGTAGGTTGGGACTGGCAGCTCTGCCTGCCTTCCTGAGGGGTGGGATAACATCAGTGCTGGGGAATCTGGCACTGGGAGCAGCTGGAGTTTCCGGTTTGTGCTGGTGGCTGCAGGAACAGAGCCAGAGCTGCAGCTCTGAGCCTGCCCTGAGCCACCACGGAGTCAAACTGCCCGTCCTAGGGAGCAGAGCAGAGCTGTGTGTGGCCACAGATCACAGAATCATTCAGGTTGGAAGGGACCTTAAAGCTCATCCAGCTCCAACCCCCCTGCCATGAGCAGGGAACCACCAGCCCAGGCTGCACAAAACCCTCCTCCAACCTGGCCTGAGAAACCTCCGGGGATGGGGCATTAACAACCTCCCTGGGCAGCCCATCCCAGTCCCTCACCACCCTTAGAGGGAAGAATTTCCTCCTCATGTCTCACCTAAATCTCCCTCTTCCAGTTTTCATCCCTCCCCCCTTGTCCTCTCCCTCCCTGCCCTTGTCCCAAGCCCCTCCCCAGCTTTCCTGGAGCCCCTTCAGGCCCTGGAAGCTGCTCTAAGGTCTCCCTGGAGCCTTCTCTTCTCCAGGCTGAACACCCCAACTCTCCCAGCCTGGCTCCAGAGCAGAGCTGCTCCAGCCCCTGGATCATCTCCGTGGCCTCCTCGGGACCCTGTCCAGAGGGCCCTTGGTAGCAGAGCCCTGTCCCGTGTGCTGCACCCAGGATAGAACCAGGTAGAAGTGACCAAACTTGTGGGTTGAGGTAAAAACAGTTTAATAATTGAAATACAATTAAAAATTGTCATGAAAAGGAAAATAACAAAAAGGGAGAAATAAACCCTGGAGAGACAAGAGATATGAGTGCACATGGGGCAGGGGGCTCCTCTGGGGGGTTGTGTTCCAGTATTGAACAGGGGACACAGAAATTCCCAGTAATTCCCTGTATTTTAGAACAGAGAGGGGCTGCAAAGTGGGAAGGTGAGGCCTGTTGAACCACAGGTAATATCTTCACTGGGGGTGTTGGGGTCAGTGCTGTCCAGGTGCCCATGGTCCCTGTTGTGCTTCAGCCAGAGGAGCTTTCCCACCCACTGCTGCTGCCTCAGCCACGTGCCTGGACCTCATCCCACGTGTGAAATGCAGCCTGTGCCCACACACCTGGTCATCTGAGACCAGTGCTCATGCTCACCTGTGAAACCAGACACATGTTTGGCTTCATGTGCAACCACCCAGGTCTCAGTGCTCCCCAAGTGCTGCTGCTCCAGGGACAGGCACATCCCTGCTCCAGGGACAGGCACATCCTTCCCTGCTCCAGGGACAGGCACATCTCTGCTCACAGGCACGTCCCTGGGCTCACATCCTGCAGGCCCTGGGTGCTCCTGGCCATGGCCTTTCCAGCCAGAATTTGGATAACAGAAGAAACTTCTTCACTGAAAGGGTAGTTGAACATCAGCACAGGCTGCTCAGGGAGGGGTTGGGTCACCCTCCCTGGAGCTGCTCCAGACCTGGTGCTGAGGGATGTGGTTCAGCACTGGGCTCAGTAGTTGGGTTGATGGTTGGACTTGATGATCTTAAAAACCTTTTCCAAGCAGAACGATTCTTTGAAAGCCCCTGGGGCAGGTCACCCAACAAACCATCTTCCCACCCCAGCGACTGCTCTTGTGTTGCTCCCTCCTCAGCTACGAGGGCTTCATCCCTCAGTACAACTATCGCTTCGGGGAAACCTTTGGCAGAACCACCCACCGGCTGCTGACGGACCCCGAGGTGGTGAGGAGCCCCCGCTCCCTGCTGGCCCCTGTGCACAAGCAGAAGTTCATCGAGGACTTCAGTGGGACCCACTCTGCTGTGCAACGTTACCTGCCCGGGCAGCCAGGTGAGCACACCTTGGGTCTCATCCCTTCCCCAGCTCGGGCTCTGGCACCAGCGCCAGGTCAGTCACAGGGGCTGTGCCCTCCTTGAGGGGCTCCTGGGGTGAAGGGGGGGATCTTTTGTATTTAATTTATTAATTTTTTATATAATTTCATGAGTTTTATATGTTTTGTATTTTAGGAATAAGTTCTTTAGTGTGACCTCAACCTCCCCTCGCTCAGTTTAAAAATGACCGATGCGAACAAAAATGGGAGGAAATGGGTTGGTTTAAAAAAAAAAAGACCAGAGTGACACAGTCAGAGTTTTCCAATAAGGAAAAGGCTGTTGTGGGGTGGAAGAGCCATCACCCTCCAACAAGAGCAGGAGGAGCCCCCGGGCTGGGGGCCCAGGGAGCCACTGAAGCTGCTCCTGAAGCAAAGTCACCCCCAAAAGGTGCCGGGCTGGGCTGGCCCTGAGGTCCCTCCTCCCCAGCACAGACACACAGAACACAAGGACCCCGAGATGTTTCATCTCCCAGCCAGTGTCTCTGCAGCCCCTTCCCTTGGTGAGCAGCAGCAGAGGCAGGGCAGGAGCTTCCTGGTGGGCACCAGGGGGGAAAGGGTGGGTGTTTGGGGTGTCCTGGCACGTGGAGAGGAGGATACAGGGGGGGAGGCCCCTGAATCTTCTTTTACAGTTGAGGTGTCACTCAGATCAAGTTGGAGCTATTGCTGAGGTTGTTCCTGAGTTATTTGTGCTGTTTCTCTGCAGGCTGGGGACCCTCACGGGACGTCCCCACATCCCAGGGGATGCTCTAACCCTCCCGAGTCCTTCCCCTGGCTCTGGGGGGGGGGTGTGTGGGGGCCGAGGTGCAGTGTGATGGGGATCCCTCCCAGCCACCCCTTTCCCTAACCCCCCCCCTCTCTGTCCCACAGCACCGTTTCCCTACGAGCACCCTGGGGCTGTGACAAACTTCCCTGAGCCAGACCATGGGCCCAACCCTGCCCTGCTGGGGCCGCGGCCGGAGGAGAAGGACCGGAGGCTGATGACAGACCTGGACCCCCGGGCCCAGCAGCACCCTGCCCAGTACACCCCGGGGGCACGGCTGCCCCCCAGGACCCCCTGGCATCCCTGCTCGGGGGGGCATTTCCTCGAGACATCCCCAGCCTGTGGGCAGGGACCCGGTGCCCCGGTGGGAAGCAAACTGGTGAGTGGGTTTGGGTGGGAGAGGTGGGGACTGGTGGGTCTGGAAGGGCTTTCCAGGTGGTGTGGAGAGGGACCCTCAGAGGCAGGGAGAGGGGTGTGTTGTGTGGAGAAGCACCAAGCTCCCCATGAACGTTCCCAACACACGTTTCTAAACCCAACACATCTTCAGGGCAGGGTTGCAAGGATCACAAGGATCAGTGGCTGTTCCTACTCACAAAGGTTTAACGTGTCCTGGAGCTGAGGTTTGTTTCCATGTCACATTGTGATGTGTCCTCCCTGCCCTCCTCCTGCCCAGCCCAGAGCAGTCCTGGCACCTCTGGCTTTGTGCTGGGTCTGTGACCCCTTAACTGCTCCCACCTGGATTTCCCACCATCCCAGTCCCTCACTGAGACCCAGGCAGTGGGATCTGCCCATGGAGCTGGGGGCTGCTCTGCCTGGCACTGCTGGCATCACTCAGGACCAAGGTCTTTGAGCCCCTTAGTTCTTCTGGAGCCAGAGACCACGTTGGTCACATCTCAGGCAGGTGGGGTCCCCAAATCCCCTGGGGGAAGAGATCAGAGATGTGACCTCTGGAGTCAAAAGCTGGTTGGATAGAAATCCCAAGAAGGGGCATT